TGAATCTTAAGAAAGAAAACCAAACCCATCCACAGTCCAGTTACATCCTATAGGTGCCACTCAGCAGATGGAACTTACCGGACTGCTTCTAAGCTAATTTGAAGATGTATTTTTCATTTATTCAGGGAGAATGTTAGATATATTTAGAGCAAAATAATTTTATTATTACCACTGATCTGTGAGCAACTGCATCCTCAAGTCTATAATATGAGCTTAATAACCAAGACGAGAGGAGAAGCAATGAAACTGACCTTATCAGAACATGATGCATTAGTTTCAAGTTAATGTGATTATGTCCCCACCTATCTCACCCAGCACAAGGTTGTGAACAGTTAAGAGTATGTCTAAATCTCTTCTACCATGAAGACTTTTTCCTGCCATACATTCTATTAAATAAAAATAGATGTATGACAGGAGATAACAGAAAAAAGTGGGACAAAGTTTCTACATACAGCAGCTTTAAACAAACAAACTTAACTGTGATTTGAAACAAAACCACAATATGCACAATAACAAAAACTGACAGAAAAAGAAAAGCAGTAAGAGTAAAAACCTGTTTTATCTGGTGTGGAATAATGGGGGAAATTAGAGACCACTACCCTCTTCTCCCTAATGTTTAATATTAAAACATTAAGGAAACTTTAGGGCAGAATGCAGCTGTTACTTCCACGATGGAATGCAGTTGATATGCACAGAATCTATCCTACGATAGTTCCCCAGGCAACCCTGCGACCTTGGCGTATGCGAAGATAAACTGAATGAAGAGCGGAGCAGAACGAACACACCACAGCCAGGCTCTGTTATACTCCCTGTGGGAGCAGGAAGACTCCATGTCCTGATAAGCCACAGAGCAGCTGATAGACAAGGATTGTAAAGCAAGAGAATTTCACACCAATCATTAATAAAATATGTATAACTAGAGCTACTCAAGCTCCATAGGCACATACTCAAGCTCCACAGCCATACAGTCAAACTCCATAGGTATTTAGCAATGAAATTGAAACTTGTGTTACTATGAAGGGGTATGAATAGAGAGATACAAAGGCCTCTTAAATGGTCAGGAGACCCGAGAAACGTAACTGATTTATGCTCAGAACTGACAGCCGGAGAGGCTTTGGCCTTGTGTGGGAAGACTAAATTAAAACAGGACTGAAGAAAACAGGACTGAAAAAAACAAGACTAACGAACTTCTAATCAGGAAAGACTATCCTTGATGTCTGCTACATCGCAACACCACCTGGACATTCACCCAAACACAGCTTCACAATCAGCAAAAGATGATTAGGCTGTCCTTTCCATGAACTATCCCCATTATAATTTCACTTTAATACTAAATGTCACAGCTGCAGGTCCAGAGACCCCTGCCCAGGTGGGAAGAGCATGCGGAATTAGGCAAACAACAGTGTAACCTTATGCAAATTAACTGCCCAATGGGTAAATGGTGGGAGTAATGGGTAAAACAGAGAGTTACTAACCTGAGTTAAATCCCATAAGAAAGACTGCATTGTAACTGCGGGGTTGGTTGACGGGCTGAACCTGTCTTCTGCCCTCCACAGAGAGGCCTACTGGATAAGAGCTATACTCTATGCACATTTAATGATTAATTTTAGCGGGCTTTATATGTATGTTATTGTCACGCTTGTTCTCACAGTTAATGTACTGTCAACAGCAATCTTTGAACCTTAATGCCCTGTCAATGGAAATGCTCAAACATTAAGCTGTCATGAATTTATGTAATAAAAAAACCTCAGCTAAGATCTATTTTGTGTGAGTTTCCAGAAACTCAGAAAATTAACTCGGTGAGTGAATCTGTTACAGTGAATCCCTGAATAGGACAGCTGAATCACCCTTGGATATACTATGCTGCCCAATGTAGCCCCTGCAGAGGGCTCCGACAGGCTGATCAGGCTCGAGGGTCTCACCTTTCCCAGAACATTAATAGACGCTTCAAACATATGGGTAAGGGGGTAAAATCCCCCCCTTACTAGGGTAAAATCCCCTCTTACTGGGGTAGAACCTACCCTTAACATGACGTTTGGGAATCCTGAAGGCTAGAATGTAGCAACCTCCATGGATGTACAAGTAAGTTCTGAGAGAAGGCACCAGAATCTGATAAGGTCTGAAGGTCCTACCTATATTAAGCTCTGCATGGGATTTAGTAAGAAGACAAAGAGCACAAGGATATAAGGAGCAATCTTAACTTACTAGGAGCTCAACACTTCAAAAAGCACCAGAAAAGGTGACTTAACATCAAAAGTAAATTTACTGTTCACTTGTTTTCATTAGAGAGCTAATGCTAAAACCAACAGTACTATGATCGTCAGTAAACAAATGGAGGTAGCCATCTTGTATCTAATAAAACCATAGGCAAAAAGAAAACAGCATATATACATAAAGCAAAGACAGCCAGAAAGGAATAGAGAATTAATACTGCTCATGTCAAAAACATTAAGGACACAGAATAGTTCAAATTAATTTTAGCTCTGCTTTCTCTTCCTTTGCTGTTTTGAGGTACACAGCTAACTGGTTTCTCAGGCACCTTCTCTGGAGAAATACGTTAAATGCTTTACAACGGTTAAGATTACTTTGCCAAATAGTTCAGGTATAAAATGAATGGAAACCAGGAGCGACTAAAAGTCTTTCTTGGCTAAAAGAAGTACTACGTACATTGCAATTTTTTTTTTCTCTTCATTCCCCAGATCAGGAAAGAGCATTTTCCTTAACAACTCAGAAGAAATGAGGTGTGACAAGTGCACATAAAGATCACATTTACTAAAATTTCAGAATTATTCTGTATTATTTTCCATAACATGCACTGGACATTCTTTTCCAATATACAAATGTAGCAAAATATGATTTATCAAGTAAAAATTACCTAAAATCCCAAACTTTTGCCTATTAAAATGCAGTACTATAACTTGAAACCAATAATTAAATCAATTTTTCATTCTCCTGTTTGCATTAAGATGGATATAAGCACTGGAAAAAGAGACTCAAGATGGTCGTGTATGATAGGACTCAACAAACCTCTGCACCCCCTCATCTCACACCTCTGTGCCCTTGCTACCACTCCTCTACACAGGTCTTCTGGAAAAAGACAATCAGAAGCAGCAAAGAGGTGGATGCATGATTTCCTTGCAACCTGCTGAATCATGTACGTGAGAAAGCTCATTGTAGGGAAAAGTGAAAGACAGAAAGACAGAAATAAAGGCGTGCTGAGTTATTTTCTTGTTTTAAAATTAAAACCAGGAAGTGTTAAAAGATGTCGACAAGGTTTTTCTTCAAAATTTCTCATCGTTCCAACCTCAGCAGTATCATGCATACTGGAGTTCAAATTGGCTGCATTTTCCACTTGAAATGGCAACGCAGAATGCCAACTCAGTTAAAGTTCTGTTAGGCTTTGTTAGTTGCTTGAAAATGCAGTAATTTCTCTATTTCTTTCACACGTTGAAATGTTTTGGGCTTTCAGGTTTTTTTCCCCACTTTGAAAGGTGAGAAGAGCAGAGAAGAAGAGTGTAGAGAACAGTGAACTCTTCCTTACTGGTAGACTGCTGTAAGCAACAACTGAGATAGGAAGGACTACAAAATAGTTGCCATTAATTCCTGGATATCTTGAATCATAAGAGGCAGAACATTTGTACCATACAGGCTTAACAGAGAAGTTTACATTTTATGAACTCAAATTACAAAAACTGTGTATGTGCAGGTATACATTTAAAACCAGAATTGAACAACTCAAAACAAATCAAACAAAAAAACACAAAAACCCATCCCAAAACCTGAAACCCAAACAAAACCCAAAACCCAAACAAAACCCAACAAACCGCCTCTAGTTCTTTCCGTTAGGAAGGACTACAAAGGTAGCAGATCTATCAAGACTAAATCCAAAAGCTGCATAGCAGTAGTCTATCCATCTCCTATTGGTAAGAAAGAATCCAAAAGCTTTAATATATTAAAATATTTGTTTGAACAAATGTCAGCTTAGATATTAGATAATATAATAATGCATACTCTTATATGCAAGGAATCAGTTGAAAAATATTCCCAGGTAAACTACAGATGCTGGATTACTTTGGTGTGTGGAAGGTGAGCAGTACTGCCTGCCAATTATTTGCTTGTGAGCCCAGTTGTCAGTAAGGCTCCAAAGGTGATTTGGATAAATGTTCTGCAGAACATTGTACAGCATCTTCTGCCAGAAAGCAGCACAGAAAACTCTTGGCACCATAAGAATGAACACAAAACTGAGACAGTTCACAGACAAATACTTGCAAAGACCATAAAACCATCCTAAACAGTGTAAGTTACTTTTGCACCACAAACGCACACAGTCTGGGGAAAAAGCCTTCTGTGTTCCCAAGACATTTCCATTAACAGCAATGGTAGTTCTGTGTAATCAATGGCAGAAATATAAACACACTTAGCAGTGAATAATGATTTTTAAAAGTCTAGTAAGATAGAACGAAAATTTTTACTTATCAAAGCTAAAAAATATTTAACATTCCTCCGTGAATATAAGCACTATTAAATATGGTAGGTTTCTTGAGACAAATACTTTGCCACTGTTTTCCCCAATATAGAACTGCTACCTACCTCTGGGTACATTTTGCTACCAACCCAGTTAAGTAGTAAAAGAAGGGATCTCTCAAAAATCAACCTTGCTTCATCCACAGAGCTAAATGTTCCCGGAACATTTCCTTCTGGACACTCTTTATCCACACAAAGGAGAAAAAAACCCAAACCACCCTTTGCCATATTTTACAGCAAGCAAATTAATAATCCGAGGAAAGACAGAAAAGCAGCAACTTTCATAGACTACACTCACTGTATGTAGTAAATCATCATTTTCAAGGCACCAGATGCGCAATAAAGGAGACAGGTTAAAGGAAACAAAAAAACATTTGGTTACTTATTACCCAGTGAATATTACAAAAGCTGTGCAATTTGCAAGAGGCATTTATTAAGTAGAACGGTTACTTCAGGATGTAATATCCATCACCTACCTTGTAGAAGGGCTCCATTTCTCTTGAAAAAGGTGCTTCCTGGCCAAATGGGCGGACCTGATGTGCTGAAGGTAAGAAGAAATAAGTGTCAAGAAAATCTCATTTACATTAAACAATTACAGGTTTAATTGAATTCTGTTCTGTTTTTAAAGCTAATGTAACATCATGGCATTTTTGCCTTCAAGCAAGATTCTAAAATTTCATGTTAAAAATAGGTTAATTCAATTCAAGATTTACATTCTCTTTGCAAGGAAGAACCTCCTTAGCAAAGCACACACCCACACTCTCTTAGAGGAAGAGAGAAAAAAGCATTTTGGAATAAATAAAAAACCCCTAATACACAAAACCAAGTCAATGTCAAGAACATTTCCTGAATTCTCAGTACAGCAAAATAGATGTCTTTTCCCAAAGCCATCTGCTAAAAACCCAAATCTCTCGGTCTTTTACTCATCCATAACAACACACTGCCCCAGCTAACACATCAAACCAGAAAAGCCCTGGCCAAACACCAGGTGGTTTCCATGCTTCCACCAGAGCACTCTGCCCTGCACTCAGGACACCACCACATCCCTCTTCTGCTTTGCCTCCTGCTCACACAGAGGCTGCCCGAACGCAACGGCCTCTGAGAGATCTCTTCCGTGACAAGCGCAGCTGAAGGTGAAGAACAGATTTAAACGCGGGAAAGGGAAGAGGAGGGAACATCGGTATGAACCTCTAAACCTTGTTTCCTTTGTTGCCTCAGAGCAGCCCCATAGTGCTGTGAGCAGTAGGACTGTGGATCCTCCACTGCAATAACCTCTGCAGTGTCAGGGAGTCAGAGAAGACAGGAGGCTGTAAGGAACTGCCTCATGGCTGCCCGCACCCCACCTCTTCTGTAAGGGCATGGGAGCATGGCTGCACCCTTACGACCACACCAAAACAGCTCTTCTGCCACAGCCCTGTCTTGTTGGCAGAAGGGCCAAACTCGCCGCATGCAGAAGGAAACTTCACTCTTTTCTTAACAGCAGCTGTTGGCCAGGTGTGCCCATCTCTCCACCACAGCACAGCTCGCCCTCCCAGGGCATTCCACAGGCAGTGCTGCCCAGAGCAAGAGCATGGACACCCCTGCTCCTATCGGGTGCGGAGTCCTCTGTGGGAGAGGCAGTACCGCTAGGAGTTCACTGATCACATCACAGGACTCAGGCACAGCAAGTCTTTTAAAGAGCACAGCACCTAGAGGAAATAACTGAAAACATGGAAAGATCTGTTGCAGTGTTGGTCAAGGCAAGTGGAAGAGACAGACTGCCAGGGGGTCCTGCCTGTGGTTATGAAACAGGTTTTAAAATCCTCTATATCTTGAAGACAGTAACAGGTATTTTAATATATTGAGCTTTTATTGACATTTGCATCATGAAACTATGTTATCGGTATATAAATAACTGTCTTATGCCCAAATTCAAGCACAAATTAAAAGCAAGGGACTTGTCCTGGGTTCAGCAGTAGCAGTCATTTTTCTCCTTCTTGGTAGCTGGTGCAGTGCAGTGTTTTGACTTTCGGCTCGGGAACAGAGCTGATAGCGATGTTTTGGTTTGGCCAAGGACTTTGTGAGCCTCATGCTCTGCCAGGGAGGAGGGGAAGCCGGGAGGAAGCAGAAACAGGACACCTGACCCAAACTGACCAAAGAGGTATTCCATACCACAGCACGTCATGCCCAGGAGGTAACTGGGAGTTAGCCGGAAGGGCTGGGAGACTGCAGGGTTGGAGGAGGCATCGGTCAGAGCTTGGTCGGGCTGGGGGTAGAGGTATCGGTTGGCTGGTGCTGAGGTGTTGTATTCTCTTCCCTTGTTATTTCCTTTATCATTGTTATTATTGGCGGTAGCAGCAGTGATTTGTGTTATACCTTAGTTACTAAACTGTTCTTATCTCAACCCGTGGGAGTTGCATTCTTTTCAATTCTCCTCTCCGTCCCTCCGGGAGTAGGGGGAGGGAAAGAAGGGGGGGAGTGAGTGAACGAGTTACCTGACTGGGTTTAAACCACGACAGCACTAAATATCCTTTGATAAGATTGCTGTAAGGCACCCTGCCTTTTTAAAGTAATCCACCTTCCTCTCTGGATGGAAACTGTGAGGCAAGCCCCACATGCCATTTCTGTTCAGTTACTTTTGCCTCCACTTGAGTTGACTACCACTATACAAAATGCAATGAAATGTGAAACAGATGTTTTCTAATACATTGACAGCATTAGCAAAGTTCTGACAGAATGCTATACATAAAAAACACACTGCTTTCACAATTATTCTGCACAGACTGTCATGCTAATGTATGAAAACTTCTCTGTGTTAAAATACAGACTGTAAAAGGATACAAAGCAATTACGTGAGTAATAAAAGCCTTCAGTACTCCTGAACAAAAAGGGGAGTTGAGAGACAGCGAGTGTGCAAAATGACCAAGAAGTAGTTAAGTAGGTCTGCGTTCTGGAGTGCTGGAGTGCACTGGGGCACTCATCTGAACATGCACGCTCACTTCATAGGGCTTAATGTAACCAATTGTTTGCATTCCTTACAGTAAGCACCAGCTCTTCAAGTGTAGCTCCTCAACTCACATGAAGGTCAAGAGCTGTTGAGGGCATTCACACTCCTGTAGGACAGGCTCAAGGTTTTATAGAGCACTGGAGCTCAGGATAATCTCTGGGACAGGACACATCACGCTACAAGTGGAAAGCCATAGAATAATCTTCATGCTGTACAAATATGCCCCAGAAATCACAGTATGGCAACTATATGCTTTCCAAAAGCCCAAGGGAAAAAAAATAGTAATATTCTGAAATTCAGACATAGAAAAAAACTACTCCCAGGCTTCTGTATGCCTGTTTGTGGGTGAAAGAGGGTTAAAGAAAGGGGAGAGAAAAGCCTATATATTTGAATAGACAAAATGTCTCCGCTAGAGAAACAAAGCCATAGTAATTTATCTTATTTTCCAACTTCAGAAAAGGCCCAAGGCTCTCATAAAAACTCCATCTGATTCAGCACAAACCCACATGAACTGAGAAAATCAACTGTGCCTTCCCAAGGAAGGAAGCTGAAGAATTCAAGCATGTAGATAGTGTACCACAGTGACTGGTCAAGCCCTTCAAACAACAAACTTCTGTGTTTGCAGAACTCCAGGGCTTTGATAAAGTTTAGCTATGCCTGATCTGTGTTGGATGAATTCTCTTTCTGCTCACAAACTTTTGCACAAGAAGTCTCAGAGCATATTAATTATTAAAACATGTTTCAAGTTGAGAAATGATAGAGTTTCACTACCTCTCAAAGTGCTCAAAAGCTGCTTCCTTCCTGTTCCAGATTAAGAAACCATCTGAAGAAGTTCATTCTTCTAAAGATCCTCTACAACAAAAAAACTCTGGTCCATCCCAGGCATTTTTCCAAACAAATTGTTTCTTCAGTGTAGTCTGTAAGCTACTCGGAAGAGTGGCTGGCTCTCCTACAGAAGTAGGAGCATATTCCATATTTAGGCAAAATAAAAATGCAAATCTGGTTTTAGAATTTTCTTTTGTAATCAATACATGCCATAAGATTAGTATTTATACGATTAGCATTATAGATGGCAGAGTTTTCCCCAAAACCTATCAACTAAACACACTGACTAAAGTAATATTTAATCTTGACTAAATCCCCACACACCTAGTGGAAGAAAAGCAGTAACTAGTTTGAACTCTTACATCAGTGCGAAGAAACATGTGGCCTAATGCAATTTTGTTATGCTCAGGTTTGGGCTGACTTAACTCCTAGCAGCAGTTGAGCACAGAGCACTAGGTGGGGGTCAGGCATGAGGTGGACCTGCATCAATCATGAAGAGCTGAGATTTCAAACAATCTTGGAAGAACACGAATCAGTATAGTTTATCGATGAGATGTGAAACACCAACACCTACCTGACAAGGACCATTACTTTGATTTGCAGAAAACACTATCTTTTCAAGCATACCCTCAGCCAAAGGGATATCCAGGCTGCAAAAGTATTCAGTAGCAAATGCATAACACAGGATCTGAAGGTGCATGTTTGTGTCCAGTCCCTCCAGTGCAAGATGCACCTCCTTCTGAAGCACAGTCATTGTCACTGCAGCACTTGTGCATCACTGCAGGGAGCAAATGAAGTATTCACATGCTTGCTGAAAACCACTAACACTGTTTTAACCCATGAGCGTCTGCTCATGTGAAATGACATACCTGGAACTAGGAGCTACCCCTGATCAAACCCAACCTTTCCTGGGGATTAGCTATCAGTTTGTAAGGACAAGCGGGACTCGATTTCTGCTCAAGGCAAGTGACAAACTGTTTGTCCTCTGATAATGCAACCAGTAGGAAACTTCATTGTGCCACAGGGCCCTGGGCATGGGAAGCTGCCTGACTGAGGGCTAGCAGGGATCTTCCTCAGAGAAGGCTTCTCCACAGGAAAATATTGCTTTGCTGAAATCTAAAATACTCCATGGGAATGTGTTGATTTCGACACCATTTGTGCTGGAAAACAAGCCAATGGGAAGGTTGGCTGGCCAGCCAGTGAGGTTTCATGGCAGCCAGCCAGCCCAACCAGGAGCTCCCAGGGCATACAGAACCAGTAACATGGGAGCTCCCCCAGTTACGCATTTCCATCAAAATGTACGTCACACATTTACACAGATCTTGAAAAAGTGCATGGACTTCAAGAGACTTAAAAAAGGAAATAAAAATTCTTTGTCTTCTGGAATCCACATCAGAGCAAGGAGACTGCAGTTCTTAAAGCCAAGCACTAAAATAAAGACAGGGCAGGAATTCTCTCTCACAGTTACAGTATTTCACAACTATGCCAAAAACTCTCAAAGGCCTCTCTGTCAGAGAGGCCTCATTAATAGATTTAAAAAACCAAAACAACTAAAAATTCAAAACAAATTCAGTTGTGTGGGACTACATGCCACAATCAAGGGATAATGAAAACACAAAGGACAGGTTTTATCAAGTATGTCCAGAGGGTAATGGTAAAGCAGGAAGACACAGACAGAGGGTGGGGAAACAAAAACCCCTCTTACCCCCCAGTTCTCCTCTGAAGCTGAG